CGTGGATTATTCAATTGGACCGTGCAATTTGTTTCGTCGACTCGGTCGAGCATTACCGCCGTTCCTCTATCGCCTCGTTTTTCCAGCCAGCGCGTGTTTACGCTACTACCCGACATTGTGCCAAGTCCGCTGGAAAACGCACTGCTTTGCTACGCCGTGGAAGCTTTACGAAGCGAGAGAGAATAGCGTGGTTTCAATAAACATCGAGAGCAGGAAAGTAGAAACGTTTGGTTCCTCGTCTTCTGGTTACGCTTCACCGATGCCGTTTTAAAGCCTTATTCGAATCGCGCTAAAAAGACAGGCGGCGCGAACAATACGAAGAAAAAGGTACGGGGAAAAAATACGACCGGCGTGCATCGTCGAACACCAAGGACTCGGGTAAACTCAGGTAAACTCAGGTAAACTCAGGTAAAGAGAAAATCATTGTCATTTCACGCGACAACGCGTTGCTCTTTTTTCTTTCTCCTGCTGCGCTATTGAGAGACGTTGAAAGACGATTTTCGAGAGCAGAGGAAAATGCAGAGGCGAGAAGGATCGCTAATTGAAATACCGAATCGGTAATCGGTGGATCGGTCGTTTATATCGGACGACGGTTTCTCGACCGCTATCTAGCGTATCCATAAGCACGGTATTACGGGGCTGTATTTCTCGAGGAACTGGCTTTGCACACGTCCTTTCGCCAGATGCCTTCTTCCCGATATCGTCCACCCTCTGTGCTTTGATCGGAGTTATTACTTATACGAGGAGGGTATCGGCGGTTTATTTTGTCGACGACATAAGAGACGTGGACGGTTTGCGGCGGGTGAAAGGAACGGAAAGGAGAGAGAGGAGAGTTAGACGCGGCGAAAGGAACGGGAAAGCCGGAGGATCTCTCCGCAGATTAGAGCGCGAATCAATATTGGGCAGCGAGGCGAGGCTTTTATCGGCGCTGAAAGAAATCCCCTCGCTTGCTTCCTTCCTTCCTTCCTCCTTCGAGTGGGCACCGACTTGGAATGGAAACCCAACGGTAGAGAAACGCGAACCGGCCAAGGAAAAACGAAGCCGGTGAGGCGGCGTACGGATAGAGAGATACACGTAGCTGCAGACACGGAATGGAGTGTGACGGAATGAGAGGCGAAAGACGAAGAGGGGCGGGGGGTTAGCGACGATGGAGACGAAGGATAAGCGAGGAAGGGTATGAGGAGAACCCGAAGAGCCGACGGAAGGAGGAATGGGTTCGTGGAGAGAGTAAGGGGAGAAGTAAGAGGACGAGGATTCCGTTCGAGCAACTTACCGGACTTCTACGTTCTCTCCACGGTCGAGGATTTACAGATTACGCGCTGGTAGACCGAGCTGCTGAGTGCGACCGAGAGAGAAACCATCGAGTGTGGTGACGCGGGAACGAGCGAGCGAGTGCTGGATGAAAACGAGTGCAACCGAGATAGAGGGTATAAAGGAACGACACGGCGAGGGAGTCAAGGACCATTCGTCGCGATGGGTGCGACGAAAACGGAGCTATCGGGTCCACGCGGACTCGAGCGGTTCCCGTTGCCTCGTCCAATCCGGGACTAGCGCCACTGCTAACCCGCCAATCCACCGTCGCTCCGAGCATTACACGTTTATTATCGCGCGGGAAAAAGAAATGACTGTTTATAAATAATTAGAGAGGTTTTAATTAACCCTCGGGACGCGCTCGGACCGTCGGTATCCATCGCTGTTTTAATCGCTCGCTCGGTTTCACCATCGACGACGATACCGGCCGCCGTCTGTTCGATCCATCCCTACCCCCATAACCAATCCACGCTTTTATATTTGTAAAACTAAACCATCGATCGGCATCGGTCATTAAAGACGACCCTTGTTCTCGTTTCCTTTGATTACCAGACGGTTTCGTGTTAACACCAGAGCAACCAAAGGTTACGTCCACCTAAAAGGACCGGGAGGGTCGTTTGAACCGAACCGTACGATTTTCTTATTTACTACCTCTTAACAATTTTTACTACACGCCGTATATTTGGCCATACGATTTTACCTTTTCCCCAGTTTTCTTCCCCCAGGTGACTGGGGTACTATGATTCTTTTTTCTCTCTTCACAGAGGATATCTTCCTGCGGCACACGTCGAAACGAAACACGGCCGTGGCACGTATTATTAGAAGGCTTCGTATTCCGTAGCGAACCACCCTGTGTGTACGTACGTCGAGTCGCGAATTCGTATCCCCGTCGTTTCCCCGTCAAAAATTCATCTCCGCCCCTTTGACTCGGTCGCGTATCCGACAGGCAATTGCCTTCCGGTGGATGGAATCCGCGGCCTTTAAAACCGTTTCCAAAAGGCCTTCCAACAGCGCGGACACGACAAAAGGGAAATCAAAGCGTCGTCGAGGAGTTTTTACGATCGAACGCCCCGTATTCGCGGCGAGGGGTCGCGATCGTTTAGTTTCTTCGCTACGTTTGCCAGCCACCCTGTTTCTTCGCTCTCTCGCTCACCGTATCTTTCATCCCGATGAAAGAGAGACGCACGATCTTCTGTAGGAAAGGATTTATCCGTAGAAAAGTTGCCGCGACAAAAGAGGGTAAATGACTTTCGAATATCTCAAGCTTTTCGAACGCGTCAGCTGCGATCCGGGATCTCTCTCGAACACGAAGAACGCATCCCGACATAGCTAGCAAAGCATCGTCGAAAACGTCGCCCGCTAGCCTGACGCGTATAGAGTTCGTCCTATTTTGAAAGCAACACACATACATATGGGAAGAGAGTGGTATATAGAGAGGAGAGACTTTCATTCGAAAGGCGTCACGTAATCCACACACGGTCTCGTCGACTCCACGAAATCGACCAAGTTCCCCGGCTATTTCCGGGGTGAATTCGAGGACGACGCATCGGGGAAGTTGGTGTACGCGAGCACGATCTGTCGCTCGTACCGTCCTAAGGAGGTCGCCACGGAAACTCGTACTTTCCGGAAAGTTTTCCCAGTACTCGATGAAAGAATCACGAGATTCGAACGTTCCCGTCGTTGCGGATACGTTTTCGGTGAGTTCCTTGTCGAGCGATTCCCGTCGTTCAACGATCGTCGCTCCGTGAACCAGAAGATCTCGGTCACGTAACGCGCTTGTTTTTCCTCCGCGGAATAAACTTGTGAATTATATAAACATTTCCGTGTACGGACCGCTTGTATACGCTACGTGATTCGCATTGAAACGTGGGATACTCCAGCTTAATGCATCCTTTCATTATTAACTGTACCACTAATCTATTATCTTATTAATAGCTTTTTAATTGTCATTCCACAATGCGTGTACTGTTACCGTGTCAATGTTTAAAATTAAGTATGCTTTACGAAACCGTCTCGAGTACCGCGATCGTTAAATTCTCCGATTCATCGTGATCGAGCAAGAAACGACGCTTAAGCGGAACCCCGCTGCGTTTCGCTAATTATCGAACAAAGTATCGTTCGTCGTTAATCGTTCGTTAAACAGCCGATCCTAAATAAACAATCTTACGTGTTAGAATTTTCGTTGCATCGACTGGCTGCTGAGTACAATCTGTTAAACAGTGAAAATTCATCTCGTTCACGCTAAGAACCGTCGTGTTTGCTAATAGTAGATGGCTTGTAACGAAGATAAAACAGGAGGAAGTCAAGCTACGGAGTCGAGCATCGTTTCGGACCAACGGATTCGACAAATTCGCGGACCTTACGAATCGCGATGGGCTACGAAGAGAGGATCGAGTAGGATCGAAGTCCGCGGCGATCGTAGCCGACGATGACAGGGACGAACGGAGCGTACAAAATCCGTTTCCGGTCGAGCGGTTCCGCGAAATGATTTATTATGCCGTCGAGCGTGCACAGAGAGGAACCGAACGGAGCGTGACCTGCGGCGAGCGTATTGTAGACACCGTGAATCGGCACCGGGAAGAATACCAGACGACGAACCGTGCCCCCTCTGCTGGCCCCCCTCGAGGAAAGCCCTCATTGTTTTCTTTATTGGAACACCCTGGTTGAATAGGGGCGGGCATCGCACGGGGGCCCGACCGATGGAGCATAGAAAAGAGGGTAATTATATGGGCGCCACTCGGCGCACCGGCAATCACGCGATCGTAATCCATCCTTTCAAATCGAGGCGAGACCGATGTGTATCGGCACAAATGTATGTACACTGACGTTCAAAAGTTTCGATCACATTATGCACATGCTCGAGAAAGCTCAGCGTCCCTCTAGGCAAAATGACGGTCTACATGCGAAATTTAGTTGACATTTTTACACGTCGGGTTTCGCTGGACGTTTACACCAGGCTGCCATCGATCCCGCCATTTATTCGAACGTCTGTCCATCCCCGGCGATGGGATGCGTTCGACGAAGTCGCTTCCGGTTGATGCGCCTTTTTTTCTCGTCGATCCGATTCGTTAACGAAGCGTCGAAAAACGATTTAAGCCGGTCCCGTTCGCGCGAGGACCGACGCGTCAGCGGGAACTGGTCGTTATTAGCGGACGACGGAAGAACGATGTCTGCTGGAAAATCGACACCGAGCGTGCTTGTACGGTCTTTATAAAAGGAGGCGCGTAGCATGCCGGTTAAACCTAGGAAGGGTAGAGGGGAAGTTGCGTTGACGTTTCGGGGTGGCAACAGCAACGGTGGCAGACTTCTCAATGAGTTCCTAAATCGAAAGGGCTTTCGTCCCTCGTTCGTTCACCCCCTGCGGCTCGGGATGCCACCCTACGTATAGATGGAAGAGAACTGGCGTGTTTGGAGAGCCGAGGGCTGGTAGTGGTAAAGAGGGAAGAAAATAACAGATTTCCCAGACGCGACTCATTCGAACCCCCTTGCCACGTAGTCCCTGGCTTCTATACCGAACGGAGACGAAAAGATAGAGAGAACGGAATTTTTTTCCCTTTCTTTTTCCCTCTTATCTTCCACTCTCTTCCACCATCTAACATCTTCAACGTTCCCTTTCTCCAGCGACGGTTCCTAACGAGAGGCAGAAAAGTTCTTACCGACGAGATATCGTTCCTCTTCTTACTCGAGATCTTCGTTCGATTCCTTTTTTCCTTTCTCTTCTTTCCTTTCCCGGTCCACCCGCTTCATCGTATGTATATAAGGGGGCGATGGAAGTTCCTTGTGGGCAGAGCATCGCGTCGGGAAGGACCCTTCTCTGCTGCTGATTAAGGCATAAAAGGCATAAAAGGCGGTGGGTTATATACAGAACTAACCAGGGGAGAGTCAGGGGAAAAGAAATTTGTTCGAGGGATGGGGTCGGATAGGGAGCGATGAAGAGAGCGAAGCAAATACAACGGGAAGGGATACCTAATTGTAAGTACATTATACCTTCGGTCCGTGCAGGATTATACAGCTGCTTCTTTATTGCTAACACTGGCGTCTTTTATCTGTAATCCTTTTGCTTCATTCCGATTATATCCCTCTGTGGATTCTCTCTCTTTTTTTCTCTCCTTTTCTTATTCCATCATTCGTTCGCATCGCGAAAAACTTTCCCTTCTGTTTTCCCTGCGAATCATATAAATCGACAATTCCGAGGTCGTTGTACCGTCGAGACTTTTTACCACAATCCATCGGCTGACTTGGTGTTTTTGCGGAAAATTAAGCATCGGATTCTTCACGAACGAAATAATATACTTTTATTTGTTCGTCGAAAGTGGAAGACATCGATTTGTCTGGCGTGTTCGTTGAAATCGAAGGACCATCGGCGAGGATTAAGCTGGGGAAAGGGGGAAAAGATTGAAAATAATGTGTTCGCGTGTCTCCGTGGAATGGCTGACTCCGTTCAAGCACGAAACGATAAATCGACGCGTCGCGAGCTTGTACCGGAACGAATAAAGGAAAATACAGAGTGCAGTTGGAAAAGAGGGGTAGGATCACGTAGAAACGATCTGTGCGACCCTTTTTATTTCACGATGAAATCCGACCGCAAGGCCAATCTGCTCGGAACCTCGTAATTTATCCGGAAAAGTATACGGCCCAGGGAAAATGGCAATAGTACGATATCGTGTTTCGGTCCGTTTTCGATTGCACGATAATTGACATTTCCTTTGGTTGAAACGTACTCCAATAACGGTATCCGTCAATTTACTTAAAGCAACAAATTTTGAGTCTGTCTACCATCGTACACTCGTGTCAATCACACGTCGAGCAACTATGTATTTTCAGAAAAAAGAACGGACAAGCAAATGGAAAAAAAAGAAAGGAAAATCTCCCGACAGGTTGGGTGTTCGAAACGTCTTAATCGCGTTAGGAGTCGCTCGTCATCTTCGTCAAAGAAGTCCAGCAGAGTTGTTCGTCGGATTTGTTTTGCATCCTGGCGCCAGTTTTATCGCCGATACACATCGTGTATACTCGAGAGATAGAAGACCTTTCCGGGACCGGGTTTCGCCGGATCGGCGAAAGGGACGGCACCTTTTTCGCGTTTCCGAGTGAGCGAGCCGCGTGTAGGACAGCGCGACGAGATAGCGGCGGAACAGAGCGTGTCGATCCGTTTATCGAGTCGTGTATTTACGCGCGGCGTGACTCGTAGACGCTCGTTCACCAGATAACTGCGATAATATAGAAACGCCAATAATGAAATACGATAAGTGCGCGTTGAATTTGTACGCCGGCTGGCCGGGCTCTCTCGAGCTTAAAGAGCTGTTACGGTAATCGAAACGACTCTATAGGTAGGTGCCGGTGAACAGCGCACGGGAGCAATTAGAAATGCCCGCTCGAGCGCGCGCGTAACCCACGTGTGTACACACGGTACGAGCCTCGATACACGACGATCGAGATACACATTACGCGCCACGTACGGGCCACGATAAACGTTTCCGCACCGTTCCCTTTCCTTTCGCATAAATTACGCCGCGATAGCTTCGCGTCCAGAAGGAACAAGTTACACGCGTCCCTTACCTTCCCGCCGCCTCTTTCCTCTTCATCGTCGTCAGCATCGTTTTCTTCTCATTTTGAAATCGAAGATTCCAGTCACTTTCACTGGACGTCGCTAATCGTCTCGTTTTACGCTACATCGTGCTTGTCGACGATTCCCCGAGCCATCTTGCATCCTCCTCTTTCACCAGCCATCCCTCTTACCTTCTTCTCTTTATCCTTCCCCATCGAGACGGGAACACGCGTCGTCGCGGAGCTCAGGTAGGGAGCAAAGTCAATTTCGAGGCGAGATGCCACGGGGTTAATGGGCCTCCTTTGTCGTAAATTCGGGCTTTAGTGTGAAAGCTGCCTAAACCTGCCTCTCCTTCCTTGCCTCCGGAGTCCCGGTGCCTCTGGGAGCCTTGTAACAAACAGGATACAGGTACTTCCAACCTTATATCTTTTTTCTTCTCTCCTTCTTCCTCCCTCTTTCTCTCGACAACATGATTTTTCCTTTTTTTTTTCTTTTTCTTGCTGTTTCGACTTACACCCGCTCCCTTCGTATATACCTTCTTTTTCTTTTCGTTCCATCCTTCTCCGGCTACTCCGTCTTCATTCCTCCTTCGAATCGTTCCTACCTTCTCACTCGATGGTTCTCTGTCACGCTTCAACCTCCTTTTTCTCCTGTTTTCCACCTATATCCCTCTTTCGCCCCCTCCATCTGTCAGCATCGCCTGCCTCCGCATCGTCGAGCGATTTATTATCCTCGGCTTCCACCTCGGGCACCGTCGTTCTGCTTAGCCGGTGTTTTTTATTCCCGCAAGAGGGTGGAGGCGAGGAAGCGGGAAACACGCCGGAAACTGCGGAGGGGCCGAGGAAGCTGGAAAAGAAGATGAATCGCGACAGTTGGCAACCTAAGAAGTTTGATTATGTTGGCTCGGCCGAGGCCACGCTCGGTTAGATTTGTATTAAGCCCGCGAGGAGCGGAGCGGCGCGCGTCGTGCCGAATCGCGTAGCTGAAAATATGCTTTATAAGCGTATCGCACCCTCCTCTCGAGGGCTACGAAATCCTGGCTGCTCGAGAACACGGGACGGAAAATGGGATTAAGGTTATACGATGTTTGCACCTCGATGAATCGAAAGCGTTTAATCTCCCCGTCTGAAACAAGTAATATCCTGTTTATTTGCTTTAATATTTTTCATTTCAAAAGGACGTTGAGAAATCGTTACTTGATTTATTGGTTATTAAAGTACCATGTAACTGTGATCACGTTTAAAGAGAGAATAAACGTGGCTCGTTAATTGCCATTAATTGTATGTTAAATTGTATTGCTGCTCGTTAATCAGCATTTTCTCAATAAAACCGTACAAATTAGTACAAGCCTGGCATTAATTACTGTTATTATCACCTGCTATATTTCATTGTGATTTGTAAATAAATGTATTCATAAATGAATAAATAAATGTAGGTATACGAATTTAAAAAAGAATAATAAGAAAGAATAATTTCTGGACAGGTCAGCTATTCCTAGTACGAAAGTGTGAACACTTAACTCCTCATTACGCAGTTGCTTCTTAAAAAGTGTACAAACAAAAAAAGAAAAATACTCTTTATGGTTTTCTTAGTCTATAGCACATGGTCTTTCTAAACTTTACGCGATACAAAGAACAGGAAGTGCTTGGTCATTTCGTTATTCCTTTCTATTAAAACGAGGTCGAATGTGCTCGAAATCGCGATACAAAGCCGGACAATAGTGCAACACGGTGGAAGGCAAGAGCATACGGTTTTACGATAAATTACATCGTTGTGTAATTACGAAAGTTCGAGGAGCCGAAAATTGTTGGACGATCGGTTACCTAAACGAAACAAATTAGTGGCGTAAATGGATAGCAAACGCCTGGGACTCTATTTCACGGAGATTGCCTCAGAGAAATACTGGTAGCAGCCGAGAACTTCGGAGATTAAGATAATTTTATTATCGCCAGCCTCGACAGGTATGCCATTAGCGGGGAATGTTAATGGTTCGTTGTATCGACCGTGCGGAACGAACGATTTTGCTCGGCTAGGCAAGGTAAAAATTTTTAATAGACACGAGTTATGTGTGTTTCGCTCGTCTAATACGCTTTAATCCTGCCGATTAACGGATCTCCTTCGCTCCGATCGCGTCGACCTCTTTTTACTCGACTCGCCGAACCAACGTCACTTTTTACGCAACGCTGAAGCAACAAAGTCATAGGGTAGAACGATCAATTTCTTACCGAAGGTAATTCACTGCGAAGGAGTAATTCTACCACGTTTCCTTTTTCACAAATATGACATGATCAATTTGTTCGGAGCGTGTTCAGAACTCGAACGATGAGCCGTAGATTTTACCTGTCGGCTCAAACCATTGACGTTCTGAGTGCGCTAATGAAAAGAAAATTAATCGCGAAGATATTACCGCTGTATTACTTGTGATATCATTTGTGCGATACACAATATAATGCGAAAACGTTGACGAGGTTGAATTCTCGCCATTTACATAGTCAGGTATATCGACTTACTTTTCTAGAAAGATGAAATTCCGCTTTCATTTCACGTGCACACGTCAGAGCAGAAGAGGTACGGGTTCGTTGTCGAGGAACTGTGCGCCGTGCAAAAACAAATGATCCGTCGCTTCCAGCCGCGATAAAAACCGGCGTCTGGATTAAACGCGCCTCTTGAATGGAGACGTTTTTCTGTAATGGAAGGTTGGCCAGGCCGTAAAGAGAATTCAGGCACGACCGATCGAGCACCTGCCTGGCTGGCTGTGCGCGAAGGCCCTCACAAAGGGCTGCCCGGAACTTGTGAAAATAATTCCCGTGCCTGTTCTCGAGCAGCCCCTCACAATCACGCGTCCCGTACGCGTTCACGGCTTTATGCGGCCCTCGTTCGTTTTACACGGAATCGAGGCCGCAGGTGTCTCCATTGTGAACGATCCTTGCACGTCATTCCACGGTAGTTGCCATTTAACGCGGGCACAAAGGCTGACCTGGGGGCTGACGGTACACCGGGAAACACGGCGCGAACGTAATTAGCCGGTAATTATTTGCAAGCAGTGAATCGAGCGTAGAAAGTTCGAGGAATCGACCGTTCGTGTAAGTTGTTTGCGTTGCGTCAACTTTTCACCACGCGCCTCCTCGATTTCCTTGTTCCAGCTCGAATAATGAATCGAACGGATAAAATTCGCTAATTGGAATTCGCTCTTTCGCGCCTGTTAATTGCATTTTCTTCAGCGACACGACGCGTCGGAGTTACAAAACGTATCCGAAGGAAGTGTTCTTCGAAAATCGACAGCAGTTGAAACAGATGTAGCGTACGAGTGGGTTTGTTCACGGATGGACGAAGTACGTTCCATTGTGACCGGGTCATTTACGAATTATCGCCCCTTAGCCACCGAAACTGCTCTCTTGCTCTCTTAACCGTAACGACGTCTCGCAATTCGTTCGTGATGGTAGCTCTCTATTAGAAGCAGTTTAAGTCTGTTTCGTTGAACGATGGATCTCGATTCGTTGAATCTCGAGGATATTAATCTACCGTCTTCGGCTCTTTAATCGTTCTGAAGATTTTTATTTGAGCGTTGATAAACAGACACTATCTCGTCGATAAAGTAATAAAAATCAAAAAGAACAGATTCCTTCTGCAAAAAATAATATTCGATTCGCATGATATTTAACAATCCATTTGAAAACGCCAAAGTAGGTAGCAGTATTTGCAGAATATTAGCTTTAAAGCGAAGCTATTAAAAATTACCAGCTGGTATTTACTCGAAATCCAACGTTTTCCTATATCCAGGCATCTCGTGTTTACCGTTCATCTAGAAATTCTTCTGCATTTTTGAAACTTCGCATTACGGTGTGAAAATATATTGAAAAGTAGCGTGTTCAAGCGAAATCACGGCTCGGAAATCGAGAAGGCGTGCGTAATTTATTTTCGAAAATAAGGTGATCGCGCAAGCAACCCCATTGCATCTTATTGCTATTTCCATATATCCTACGCTTCCGTACGCAATCGCGGCGAGCTTTGCTTGCTTTACGCGAATTGCCCGGCGTTCTGCCCGCAACGGTGCGGCGTGCGCATAAATCCGCGGCGACGCGCACCGCCGAGTTTCTTGTCGTACGCGACTCATGCGTGTTTATTACTTGCAGTTGCCGTCGCGACCGCGACAAAAACGTGACGGAGAATTTGGTTAATTAAAATCCCGCCGTCGACTCCGCACGCCGCGTCGCGGCATCTCTTCGCTCGGGGCTGTTGATACGTTTACATTAAACAGCGCCGCGACGGAGGAATTCAGTTTTTAATTTCACAGACGCGGACGCTTTGTAATTTCGTGTGCGACTCGCCGTTGACAATCGCGAGAACTCGCTTCGCGACAAACTTTGCCTTTTTGACCAGCACTTTACTTAATGAAATCGTTTTTCTACGCGCGAGACAATTGATTTTTTTATGTCTGCCAGCGATTTGGTTGAGAATTTTATTTATTGCAGATAGCAGAAATTTTTCTCAACGTTGATGCAACCTTCGTGTGCCCATCTTTGGTATACAATACATTTTATCCGGTTCTCTTTGAATTTCGAATTAACATACAATACACTCTTTTTCCTAACTTCCCCTACCTACAACAATTTTTAACTAAGATAGAAACATTGATTTACACCGCTTAAAAAAGTAACAACTCAAATGACTGAAGAAATCTAATGCACGTTTTATCACCTCGATTCAAATGATCCTCGATCTATCTAAACCAAAAGAAAAACTGTTTATATCGTACGTTTGTCAAGTTGAATAGGTGTGTAGAGTGGTTCGTTCACGGTCGATAAAACGCGTCCAAAGAGAAAGAAGCAGGCTCGAAGCGTGAACGAAAGGGAAACGAAAGCGCGTAGCGAGCTCGAGGTTCCGTTGAAATTTATGCGACGGTTTGCCTCGTTATCGACGCGATCGTACAAATGAAAATGCAGCTTTGCCAACGATCCCAGCTCGCGCCTAATAATCGTTCCCTATCTACCGAGGAAATCTCGCCTTCGTCGATCAGGAGAAACGTGATCCACGGCGACATAAATATTTGCCGACGATAATTCTTCATTCCAACGTCCCTAATTACCCTGGCATAATGCTTACACGTATGCCAGTCACGTAGCAGTTATAAACATCGTCTACGCCTGCAGGTGACCGTAAAGCCGCGAGATAATCAATCCCTGTGCACTGAACCGAGCCCCCTGGCCGCGTGCAAATATCTCGCGCATTAATGAGTCATTATCGCTGTACCGTTATGGTGGCTCGTCCGTGCTCGCAGGCAATGCATTACCGTCGCGGAAAATCTTTTCATCGCTGGATCACGGTTCGCGTTTGTAGCTCGCATTAATCCGAGAGATCAGCGAAACACGCGACGATGGGAAAGAAAGCGTTGGAACAAAGGGATATACAGATAAATTTTTCTTTACAACATTATTTTTGTCAATTTAAATTTCACGTATTTACGTCTATTTACGCGCAACGTCTCGCGTCTTCGTGTCCTGTGTCAGGATTCTTGATCAGGAGGTTGAGCCACACGGGACCTGCTGGAAATTGCACTCGTGTCCGTATTCCCGGATTTCGAAATAACATGCAAATCCGACCGACGTGTAACCGGTATATACAGGGTTGCATATGCATGCCTTTATCTGTCCCGCACACGCGTGTCTACGCGTCGTCGCTGCTGATTCTACCGTATTACGGGAAGCACGTGGCACCCGTTGTACTACCATCCGAATCTTCAAGCCGCGTAGCCGGCCCCGTTGCCTCGCCTCTATGAATATTTCAATTCCCCGAGAAATTCAGTGAA